TGTCCAGAGGCCTTCATCCGTCACAAACTTCTTCTTTAAACGCATTAGTCTCTTAAGAGCAACTCCCTTATGACAAACCAACTGTCTATCTTTAAATCTCCATGGTAGGCCAACGCTGAAACGCCCATTTTCGTATTTACAAGATTCCTCAACTATTTAAACTGCCTTTAAGTCTTCTACAGAACGACCCTTCTCTGGGACACCGCAGTCACAATACTCCTTTTCATGCATATTTCTAATCATAGTTTCCAGTTTGTCCCCATTGTTTGTAACCACTGGTGACATGTGGACCGTGGGTATAGGTCCTCTCATTGTCCATCCCAGCGGTGTTTTCGTCACGAACAGGTCGTCTCTACTTCCGAATCTCTCTTCTCATACCTTGTGAGCTTCTGACACACTACATCCAATGAATATTCTCACTCTACCACCTTTCAGTGTTGGAAACGGTATGGCACACAGGCATGGCTTACCGTCAACTGTTTCACGATTGGGTATTATAGCTTCGCGAGTTTCACACTGCAGGTAGTGTACGCGGTACCTACTTCAGCGGCTTCCCCAGTAGTCAAGGATTCCAACTGAAATGACACTCGTTCACGTACTACCGTTCCCGAAGAATTGAAAGTATTTAAAAGCCGGGATTGCTTTGGGTCGTTAATACTCAAGCAGCCAGCTAGCTTAGCATCTATCAATGTAACGTCTGGACCATTACCTAACAGTTCATAAGTCTCTACCAAAGATTTCGGTCCTCTCACCTGGACTGGTAATGCCCCTAAATAAAGGTGCGGGTTGTCAAGGGGTTTAAAGTTACTATTACAATTAACCGAATTCTCCGGTTCGTTTACTGTCCTCAGAAGTGGGCGCACATCGGTTGAACCACCACTTCCTTTGTCTGTTGCCTTACAATTCAACTTTGTATGCCCGTCTTTAAACAACTGAAACATAACCGCCTCTGTTTTGCCATTTTTAACCTTCCTACGGGAGACATAGCAATGAAGCGATTGCAATCACTCAATTGATGCGTGTTATGGCAAACAAAACACCCATACTTTCTCGTTGTGCCTTGAGCTTTCACTAAAAATGTTTTCTTTATATTCACCGGTTCCTTGGGTTCTACCTCGCTAGATTACTAGCTTGCTAGGCTAATAGCTTACTAGTTTCTAGCCGGTCCCAAGCCTGGGTAAAGAGGGAGGGTTGAGGCTTGGTGCTAGCAACTCCACCCACGTAAAACAACCAAATCGCTACAGAAACTTCAACGAATAAATATATTATAGAGAAGATTTGTAGCTCAGGTGGATGATTTTGATGTGGTTTTGTTCTCTGAGCTGGATGGTTAGTTTGCGAAGCTTTCATCACCTCACTGGGTGACAAGTTCAGCGCATACTTCAAATTGAAGTATGCGCTGAACTTGTCACCCAGTGAGGTGATGAAAGCTTCGCAAACTAACCATCCAGCTCAGAGAACAAAACCACATCAAAACGAATAAATATATTAAAAATTCTAAAAACATAAATAATAGCCTTACTTTTCGCTGGAATCGGGGGAGTGAAATGACGCAGGCTGGTGAAAGCCTTCGGGAAGCCAGTCAGCCGATGTGCCTTCTTTCGATGAAAGCAAAAGTAAGGATGGGTACCTGGAATGTTCGCACAATGTTCGAAACTGGAAAGGCTTCCCAGATAGCCGCTGAAATGAGAAGGTACATAATAGAAGTGTTGGGAATCTGCGAAAGCAGATGGAACGGAACTGGAAGGTGCCAACTACCTACTGGAGAGACAGTAATCTGTTGTGGCCCTTCAGAGGACAACCACGAGCACACCGAGGCAGTGACCATCATGGTGTCACCAACAGCAGCCAAAGCTCTCATGCAGTGGGAACCGATCTCCTCAAGGATAATGACAGCCAGGTTCAACTGAGAAGGAAGGAAAGTTACAGTCATTCAATGCTATGCGCCTACAAACGTCTCAGAACAAGAGAAGAAGGAGGCGTTCTACAGACAACTACAAGCAATGATGGACAACGTCTTGAATGACGACATCAAAATCTTGATGGGCGACATGAATGCGAAGCTGGGAGGAGACAACACAGGAAGAGAACTCACCATGGGTCGTGAGGTCCTCGGTGAAATGAACGACAATGGTGAACTCTTCTCAGACTTCTGAGCCTTCAATGATTTGGTGACTGGTGGTGGTGTGTTCAAATACAAGGATATACACAAGACGACATGGATTTCTTCAGATGGAAACACCGGAAACCAAGTAGACTTCATCTCGATTTCAAGAAAGTGGAGACGGAGCCTACTGGACACAAGGTCGAGGAGAGGAGCAGAAGTGGGTTCAGACCACTATCTAGTACAAGGGACCTTCACGGTGAAAATAAAAGCCTCGAGGATAGCTGGGGATAGGCCACAATGCAGGTTCAACACTCAGTTACTGAAGGACGCAACCACAAAGGACACTTTCACTGCAACTGTCAGAGCAAAGCAGGAAACACTACGCGACAGCACTGAAGAATCATGCGTGGAAGAACATTGGAAGTCCCTGAAGGTGATTCTCAACGAAACATGTTCAACGGTTCTAGGAAGAAAGAAGAGACAAGACAAGGAATGGCTCTCAACGGACATTTGGAAATTAATAGAAGAGAGGAGAATTTGAATAAAGCGAGAACAACATTGATTTGTGCAGAATAACATCGTACCATCATTTATTTCGTTGGCTTCTCGTCAGCTGCTTACAGCCTAAATAAATTTTCAGGTTTAAGTACAGAACCGTGTTAACATACTTGCAAATTTTACATGTTGTCAGTTGACAGAAAGTTTCACAATTAGTAAACAGTAAACCTGAAAATTTATTTAGGCTTTAAGCATATGACGAGAAGCCAACGAAATAAATGATGGTAACATGTTATTCTGCACAAATCAATGTTGTTCTCGCTTTATTCAAGTTTATCAAGGGGAATAAATGCATGAATAGAGGAGAATGATGAAAGAGAAAATGATTCAATGCAAAGACGGACAGGAGAAGGAGACGCTGACCTCAACTAACACAGCACTGGACAAAGAAGTGAAGAAGAGTGCTAGGAAGGACAAAAGACGATTCTACGGCAACCTGGCCACTGAAGCTGAGAAGGCGGCAGGCAGAAGGGAACTGAGGACATTATATCAGATAACCAGCCAAGGGAACCCAATCACCAAGGAAGAAAAACAGATTAAACAGTGGGCGGATCACTTCAAAGGACTCTTGAACTGACTATCACATGCAACCCGTCCAGAAATACCAACAACAGCGCGCACACAACTGCGAGTTGACACCAATCCTCCAACGAGAGCTGAAGTCTTGAATGCAATCAAGCTTCTGAAAGCTGGAAAAGCAGCCGGACCAGATGGAGTACCCCATGAAGCATTGAAAGCGGACCCGGAGACTACGGCAAACATGCTTACTCTATTATTGCAAAAGGTCTGGAAGGAGGAAAAGGTGCCTACTGACTGGAGGAAAGGTTACCTCGTGAAACTACCAAAGAAGGGCGACTTAGGACTCTGCAAGAACTGGCGAGGAATCATGCTTCTATCGACGCCAAGTAAAATCCTGAGTCGCATCATCCTGGAGAGATTAAAGGACGCACTGGAGACAGAACTCCGACCAGAACAAGCTGGATTCAGGAAAGGCAAATCATGTTCTGACCAAATTGCAACTCTACGCATCATCATCACAGAACAAAGCATGGAATGGCAATCAAACCTCTACCTCAACTTTATACGCTTTGATAAGGCCTTCGACAGACAGCGTTGACAGCGAAGTAATTTGGAAATTACTCGAGTACTACGGCGTACTCCAAATATTCATCAACATTATTCAACAGCTGTACGACAACGCCAGCACATGTCAAGTTATTCACAAGGGAAAACTCAGCGAGGCGTTTGGAGTAAACACAGGAGTCAGACAAGGGTGCTTATTATCACCAATGATATTCCTAACTGTGGTGGACTGACTGGATCGTGCGTGAGACATAGAATGTTAAAGTGCCTTAAGATATGAATACTCCAGCCTGATTCGTAACAAATCCGCTGTGAGGTCAGTGGTGGACCCTTTCAGCGACTCGATTGGGGCACGAAATGTCAAAGTAGGCCAAAGTTATGAAAGTTACTCAAACAACCATATAAGTTTTTAAAGATGTTTGAATGCCAAATTGTACAATTACTTGAGTGTACACCAGCAAGTGACTTAGTAACACACTTCACAGATCCATGGGCTGTGTATTTCGATAATTCTTCTCTACTCGGGTTTGCCATTCCGTTCATTGATTTCACCAGCAAACGATGAAGTAGATTTCTTGTATACTTCCAAAAGACGAAACCGATAACTGTTATGTTGGCCCGATAGTCACGAGGAAAGAGAAAACAGTGTGTGAGTGAACGCATGTGTATTTTATATCCAGTGCGTAAACGTTGTACTTGCGGGAAATTGTAAGGATCTGCTATAAACGAAGGAAAAACACTATGTTCTGACAAGAATGAATGTAATTTTCAACAAGACGTCTGCAGAATTTAAAATTTTAAATAATGACTACGAACCTGACCTATTCTCTCTTTTCCTTCCTACCAGGTCGGAACACCTTAGAGGACATAGCAGGAGAGTTCAAAAGCCAAGAAGAAATCATATTGTTGTTGAGTACTGGTTATCACACCAAGTCATAAACTCTTGGAACCGGCTCCCAGAAGAAGTGCTGCATGCAACCTCAACTGATTCGTTCAAGAAGGGTTCGGAAAACCACAGAAATTTACCAGAAAAAGATTAACATAGGCCTTCTATCCTCAACCAATAAATCTGAAATCTGAATCAGAATCATCCTTCCGCTGTGTGAGGCTCTGCGTCCTGTGACTAATATGCTTTTGTAAGGAAGAAATAGACTTTATGAATTCATTGAAGTCATATGTGTCGTAGCAGCTTGTAAATAAATTTGACTTAGCTAAAGTTTGGGCTACATCCCTGGTCTGGTAGTTCAAATTGCGCCCAATGAAAACGACCTAGAGGCTTCAGCGGTTTTTCGAATGAGTCTCATTCCCAGCTGTTTTGAGTCATTGTTGTGACTACTTTGGATTTCCACAAATAACTTTCAGTTCTGGAAGAAAACTATATTATTTATATGGAGCATTTCTCCTCTGTCCCTTTTCGCATCGATCAATATATTCAACTATCACATGCCCAAATAAAGGCCTGTAGACAGGGGTTTTACAATGCTTTTGCTTTCGGCCTTCTGTTTCTTATTTCTGGAGTTGCCTTAGCTGTGTATTACACCTTACAGATTTTCTTTATGCCGCTAATGTGGGCCTTTTTGTGTGGGACAGTGCTGTATCCGTTTAAGAGTTCTCTAACTGATATTATCCGTGGTTGGATAAGACGTGTGGACGCTGAAGACCAGTTGCTTTTGGTGGAAACTATTGTCGTACCTTTTCGAATCCTTAATGCACTATCTTCCATTTTACTCCATAAAGCATCTGACTACTCGAGTCTATTGAAGTCTTCATTGTTTCTTCTTCTAACTTTCCATGTATGTTCTTTCTTCGACTTTTTCTGGCTACCCGGTTTGTTTTCAAATGCAGCATGTCTTTGCATCTCACTTATTGACTATGTATTGGGTCTGATGTCGTTTAAGCTGGTAGGTATCATATCGTTTTCTCTATTTGTAGGTTGCCACTTTAGGTGTCGCGCATGCTATAACGGCTTTAGTACAACCGTGCAGTTTCTACTTTGTACATACGGTATCGCATTTGTTCTGGGTGATTTTATTGTTATGGTGTACATCGTTCGCTGGCGTTTTGAGGTTGCCAGTGTTTTTCACTTCAGTTGCGGTTCTAGCAATTGGATATTGGTGCTTTGGTGACACGAGTGATGGAACTTACCAAGGTTAGCATAATTTATAATCCGAACTTTTATAAAATCTGGATTGTGAACATTGGTGTTTTCCTGTGTAGTAGTTTAGTTTTCACTCTTAGCTATATTAAAAATCTCTTATTTCAGTCAAGTTTAAATAAATTTCGTAAAGTAATCAGTAGTAGTTTCTCTTCTAATAGTGTGACATTTTTTCTGTATGGAAATTTATAACCACTCTATGCTGCAATGTGTTACGTAAGCTGATGTAGAATGAGGTTGGTAAAATACGAAGATGGTTCTGCCAAGTCGCTAAATGCTTGCTGCCGTGAGTCAGAAAAGTTAACACTTGGCGATTTCCGTACGGTGCAAGCCGTAGTACCAGTTAATACAACTCAGCATGGACTCACTGGTTCCCACATTATACAGTGCATGTCAGAGAGAGAGAGAGAGACTAGATAAGTATCTTGGTAACAATTCTAATTGTGTAAAAATCAGTGAACTCTTTCTATAACAGGTTCACTGGAAGTTCTCATTCAGCTTAATGAGCATGTTGAGGGGGGTGAATATTTGACTTAAAGCGAGCATTCGAACAATGGGATAAGTTATTATTATCACTACTATAACTAGCCATTTTGTGGATATGAGCATTCTATCCGTCTATAAATGCTTTATAGTCATAAATGTACGGAATGCCTACTGGAATTATGTACATAAAAATGGACTTTGATCAGTTTTTCACTTTTTTCATAATAGTATTTTGATTTTATTTCAATAATTTTCAGATGTTGGGTTTGTAATAGTTCGGTAGACTTCAATATGGATTTCGTCATGGACTTATTCCATATGGGGAATCGTTAAAAATTATCCGTTCCCTCCTACTTTTCGACTGTTCCTGGTTTTCGATAGCTGATGTTGATTTTTGCCAAAATTTATGCAGGAATTCTTTTATATTTTATGCTACCTTGCTGGTTTCAGTTCATTGAACTAATTTCATTCCTATAAATTCGAGTGCATTTACATCTTATGTCATTCTTTAAGTTAGCTGTGATTATTTTACGCACACCTGTTTGGTACTATATAAATTGGCTATTACTTGGCGCCGGGTTCAGGGTGATCAATAATGCTCTGACCCCAGGTGGAGTCTGTCTCGCTGTCTGTCTGTTTTCGACATAGAACTTTGCACAAATGTGCGGAAGTTCAAGTCACCACACTCCGTGTAGCACGCGAAGCAAGAGAAGAAAGTACAAGAAAAGCATAATAGAGACAGTAAGCAGAGGTGTGAGACAAAGGAAAAGTAGTAACGAAGAACAAAACAGTTTGATTGGAAATCATAAGTCACAAGGAGTGGATGCATCTGCGTTAGCCACTGAGAACGATTTTGAGCCATGTCACCAATTGTTTCCAACGATAGATTTTTACCGTCCCGAGGACCCCAGCCAGGAAGTTTACACCTTCTTACGTGGCTTAGACTAACTGTTGTAGATTTCATTGAGTGGTGCCAAGTTTTTGTTTGACCTCCTCTAGCTTTTTTCCAGCCTGACCCTATATCCGCTAACATTGCTCGTCGAGGAAGGTGATGACTAGGCATACGTAACACATGTCCTAACCATCTCAGTCTTTGTAACTTTACAACCTCGTCGATTGATTTCCCCTCCTTACCTAGAACTCTACGCCTAACCTCAATATTGCTCACCTTATTATGCCACTTCACACGGGAGATAGAACCTAGGCACCTATGATCAAAGACAGCTAATCTTCTCATGTCTTCCACTCTCAGTGGCCAGGTCCCACAGCCATAAAGGAGGACGGAGCGGACTGGTCGATAGTCGAACATCTCGTCTACGCCAGAGTCGGCGTAAACTGGCAAATGCGGGTGGAGTCCCCCCATTGCACGTCGGTGGGTTGAAAATCGCGACGGACCCTAATCGGGTGCTCTCGGGTGTGTAGTGTGTGCGTCGGTGGCACAACGGTTAGGACTTTCACCGACCATGCACAAGGTCCGAGGTTCGATCCCTCGCCGACGCACACCTGATATCAATGGTTGGCCTGCTGAATTCGGGCTACAGATATCACATGTTGAAAATTCAATACTTGTACCGAAAATACGGTGTGGAATCAAGCTATAATCAAAATAAAAGAAAATAAATTAAGTTACATACTATGACATTTCCTCCCATATTTTGTGTTGCCTTTCCTAATTAATAATTTACTGTTATGGGTTCGACGTCGTATTCTCTTACAACTGTTTCATCTTCAAGTGTTCTCCGAATGCTGAAGACTGGTGAAGTGAGGCAATATTTCTTACATATTGCAGCTTTTTTAACATGGCCTAACTTTTGACAAAGCTTTCATTTGATGGGATAAACAAGATTAGTTCCTTAATTATAGTTACCAGGAGACTGCAACTATTCACATTTGAAACAAGAAATACTTATCTCTTGTTGTTAATCTTTAAAAATTTTCTTAAACACTGCATGTTTTTCAACTTGCGATTCAGACATGAAAATTCACTGTTACTGCACCAAATCTTTTTAAAGACTTTTTCATGTATCGTTTAAACCTTTAAATCATAATGCTCAGGAAACATAACGACACCGAATATATCTACCTGTGGTGCAAGTTTTCATTGCTTTTATATTGTAACATCCACGTTTCGTAAGTAGGTATTTGTATTAGTTTTTACAGTAATTGATAAAAGTCTCGTTATTTAGATGGTTACCGGTATTTCGTTTTTCAAATAATGAATACTAACTTATAGGTTGTAAACATTACTGTGTATGTATAAGTATGCAAATGGTTTGTTTGAACTCACACCGTTCTGATGGCTCAATTTCCATTAAAGTATATGGGTACTGTGCAAAAGTTCGGTCTCTTCTGCTCTGTTGTTGTGACATTGTCAGTGTTACAAAAGACTTACAGAATACCATGCATAAATCGTTTTATAGTATTCAGTCAGTGGTGAGTATTGTGGTTACAGGTAGTGTTAAGTAAAGGAGGCAAATCTATAAACGTGTTTGTTTTCACTTGCATATCAAGGCATTACCTCTTGATCAAACAGACTGATGCAATTGGTCATGGTGTCAGTATTGCTCTGAGTTGTATGGAGAAGTGTTGAATGCGGCTACGGTTCAATAATTAGAGACAATATGCAAAAGCAAATGTTGTGATGCACAGGCGTAACCATTGTACTTGATTCAAAACCCACTTCATTGTGGTTGGTTGGATAGTATCGTCAACGCTCACACAATAATTGTGGCCAATTTCTTTTAAGTGAGAAAAAAAACTTTTTGAGTGACTGAGTTCTACTATTCAGCCTTCATAATCAAGCTCTGAGTCAATTTTATCAACTACTGAATTGTTTTTACTTGTCATATCAATTTTTAGTTATTTTATTATCACTCTGTTTTAGTCTAATTACTGTTTGGTTGGCGTTTCGAATTACTGCACCTTGAACTGGTAAATTTACAAAAAAGATTCCGGATCGCCCGTCTGTCTGTCTGTCGTTTAGCAATTGAAGATATAGCATACTTGTCCACTAATTTTAATCTTCATTTATGCACAGTGGTTTCCCAAACCACTCTATGATATGTTTTTCCTAGAGATACCGTACACAGTTGAGAATTGCAGGCTTAATATATATTCCTCGTTTTAACCTCCTTTAGCGCCTATTCTGACAATCCTATGGCCCGTAAATATAGCTCTTTTTTCTGATACGAAAACTTATTGTTTGGAGCGAGTCTTAATTGTTTTGAATGTACCATTGTGTACGCTTCCTACGATTTTTTATGAATACTTCAAAATTTGAGAATAAATATAACAGAACGATTGTTTGTGCATTGAAATGGTTAACACTAGTCTGACTTATAAATGATGGGAAAGATTTGTAACTCAAGTGAATGATATTGGGGGTATTTGGGTTCTTTGAGTTTCATACTGAAGTATGCACAAAAGGTGTTGTCGAAAAAGACATGGAAAGCCTCACAGTTAAACCACCTAGCTTGGAGGATATAACTACGCCAATACTAATCTGATTGTTAGAAACTACAAAAAGCTATTCAGCAAAAGAGTTGAAAACCATAGCCACAAAGTTTTCGTGTACAGTAATCTAACAACACAAATAGGTGCATAGTGAAAATGCATTCTTCTAAGTGATAGTCCAGACAGTACCTAAGAATATGCCTTTTTGTAGTCACCAGTAATATATGCTTTATATGCTTATATGTTAGTTTTTTTGAACTTTGACTCATTTCAGAACGGTGGGCTTCTTGTCACACAGTTACTGCGGTAGACGGAGGATCTGGTGACCATGTTAGGAATGCTGTTTCCTGTGATACACTTACGACAGCAAATATGGAACGTAGCCAATTTTCCGAAAGCTCCGAACAGATATTCCATAGTCAAGCAGAAGACGGAGAACGACGAGACCAACGTGGACGTCCACAAAGATGGTCGCAGTTTCTGCGGTAAGTTTATGTGTATATGTGCAAAATCATTTTAAAGAGTATATAACGAAGGGATTCTGAAATCATACTGCTTTCTAATTAGTCGTTTCTCCTTCGAAGCTTCGTTTCTCGTCCAAACAGCTTTCGATATCACTTAAAATTCCATCTTCATTGATGTAAGAGTGAAATGTCGTTTATTTGATACAACACAAGAAAATAATTTAAAAAATCATTTTTTCCCTCACTTTCCCCAGTGGAACATAGGGCTTCAAGCTAGGGGCTTGAAGTTTCTGTAGCAGTGATTATTTTACAGGATAGGGTTGCTAGCCCCAACCTTTCCTCTTTACCAGCATTATTTCTGGCCTAGCGAGGTAAAGGAGTTCGTCGGCCGGGGATCGAACCCTTGACCATGTGCATGGTCTCACGTTCAACCTTCCCTCTTTACCAATCTTAATACTGGGTAAGTTAGGTAAAGGAGTGCGTTGGGAGGGGATCGGCGAGGATGCTAACCGCTGTGCCACCGACGCACTGTCTAATATTAGTTATCCAAATACACTAGTTTATGTACTGTTCTAATGGAGTTGAGGATGTAATCATGCTTCTTGACTTGTAGTAATTAGTAAAGACACTCTTATAGTTTTCTGTCGTTCTATTCAAAACTATTCTGTAAGGACTGAATATTATGTAAGTCTATTGGGTATAACGCAGTGATACAATATTATTAATAACTGAATGAATTTCTGACCACAACCTATTGCTCATAATCCTGTCAGTATATTCACACTAATTCCTAAATTTCTTTGTATGATTTTGTATTCTCCGTTGTTTTTAATGTAATTTTCCATATATTTAGGATAGATGTTGCGTTTTTCCTATTGCATGCCGTCGTTAGTAATCTTCTTGAAAGAAGCAACTGTGATTCTATGAAATCAACGATCGGAACAGTTGTTGAGCAGTCTTAAAATGTACTATAATTTGTGTAGTTTTTTTAACTTATTCATTCATCTCAGTCGCTTAGATGTACATAAGTCACAGGGGACAGATTTTACCTGCATTGAGCAGTCGCGGGGACTGAAGTGTACATCAACTATTGAAAATTCGATTAAGGGTCAAACTAATTTGAAGATGTTTTTTACTTGAAGCTTAGTTACTTTTTCAAGTGGATTTTATAATATATATTTTGAATTATTTGCTGATTTTATATATCTTCTTATTACAATACGAACATTTCGTGTATATTTTCACCTACAGAAAATAAAAAATAACTATAGGACTTTTACATGATCTGCCGACTGGTGACAGTACAGAGTCTGTAACTGGGGCGTAGTTGAGGATAAAAATGAGGGAATTACAGGATTTCATCATGAGCTGATATCAGTTAGAGAACCATTAGAAAACCTGGGAGTACTGGAGAGCTATTTCGTCCTAGTTTGGGACTCTTCATCAGTACGCACCCACCAACAGGGTTCGAACCCAGGACCTTCTGGTTACAAGGCGAGCTAGCTCGTATACCATTAAGCCACAGGTACCCAATCCAATGTCCCACGAATTCTAACTTCTGCCGATTCACGACATAGCGCGACCCCCCTAGCCAGTGTCTTCAGTGAGTATTTGTCCTCACACCCGACCCGACACATCACACTAGTTACTAGTGTCAAATCAAAATATCCACTACAGTCCTACAGAAGGTCAATTGCGAGCCCGCATAGCTCAGTGGTAACGAACCCAGGTGGGTGCGTACTGCTGGAGAGTCCCAAACTAGGACGAAATAGCTGTCCAGTACTCCCAGGTTTACCAATGGTTCTCTAACTAATGTCAACTCATGATGAAATCCTGTAACCAATCGAATCCCTACAAACCAACACTTGAATTAGGGAATTAGTTGGACGTGTTTAGTGCTTCATTTATTTCGAAAGTTGCACCAATGAGAATAGACTGGTTATTCACAAAGCCGTAGTCCGAATAGGAGAGATGATCTTTTCTGAATTCGTGTCATCTGTAGCGCCTGTGAAGTATTCGTGTTCTTAAAAAAGTATGAATTTATTGCGCAACAGTTTAAGTTGCGGTTGCCACCGAAAGATATGAGGAGATTGCTTACTCAAAAAAGCTGTCTTCGTTGTATTAGCATGAAACGTTAAGTAGGTAAAGTTATGACTAGAACTGGGATGTTAGGAAAAGAAAGTCAGTTAACTGATGTGGTCATCAATCTTCGATGTTAGTGATTGGAATACGCATTGAATGTTTCGAGCCACTGTCTTCCTCGACAGGTAGCGTTACCTAAATTAAGACTGGACTAATGCATGGTTGGGGAGCGGGTGGTTAGAAGAAGTTCGATACCGGTTCTTAAAGTCGGTAAACTCTGGTTCGAGTCGTGTAGAGAAGTGTAAGCTGCGTTAGTGGAGTCTTTTGGATGCAAAAGATCAATGATGGGAAATTCGTGCTGAATGTTCGAAACTGTTATCATTGACTCATGCATAGTTATTCTTTATCATCTCTGGAACTCTAAACGTCTTCAGGAGTTGCATTTGGTTATCATCTCGCACCTCAGTCAGTTGGTTAGAACGTAGTTACCCAGAAAAGATTTTCATGCACACGACTATGAGCCATATTTATTGAGAGCTGGTGATACTACCCGGTTGCGCAGACTAAAGTGGGTGTAACGACAGAAGACAAGAGTCAGACGACAGATCGTTTATCAAGGAAATCAACAAATATTTATAGATTTTCATATACATATTGTAGATTATTGTTAACAGAAAACACAAACTTCTGATTGGTTGTTTCTCACAGAAAGTCAACCTTGCATCTCTTTGTGGCCGTTTCTTGAATGTCAGATCATCTATCTGCAAATTGTATCTGCCTACGCAAAGCCTTTGTTCTCATTTTTCTCACGACCAATATTGGGGACATAAACATTGACGTAAATTGCTGTCCACCAATTCTGACTAACAGCCAGCTCTCACCACATAGGTGGAGTAGGACTCGGGCTCTGGGTCCATTAGCTTAAGCGAGTGAGCAGCGTTTCTACTCTTCATCTTGACGTACTGTTTGTCCATTTTTGTGTTATTCTGTTCCTATTCGTTATGCTTGTAGTATGATAACTCAGTGTGGTGCACCTCTGTAAGGTGGTTCTGTGTCGGCCTGTATGTCTTCTCTGTTTGTTATAATTGGCTTAGTTTTGAACTATGGAGTAACTTTGTAAATGTGATTGTTTTGAGTTTGAACGCTATCTAAATGACAATGAGTCATCTAGATAAAATAAAGTGAAAAAGTAAGCACTATATAATCAGGACTCGGACACCGACAGGATCAAACAATAAATTTTGTCCGAATATGTTATCCAGTGAATAAACGTTACTCTGTATAGTATATTTAGCAAACTAACGGGGTTAAAGTTGCAACTGTAAGTAAATACAATTCGCCATCTTTTCTTCTACATTTTCTTGACTGGATTTTATCGCCTTTTCCCTGTTCAGAAGACTGAATTAACGCTAAATTCTATGAAATTACTTTGTTTGTCATATTTTCGGTATTTTCTTTTAAACAGATGAACTACATAATTTATCATATTCATATCTTCCTCTTAATAGAAATACTTGATTCTCTTTTTTTCTTGGTTTTGCGTATATCATTACTTACAGACAAGCTTTGCTTTCAATACCGACAGGATCAGACTATGGGTTCGACCCAGTTAGTGAGTTACGTGCTTTTATGTCTGAACAATTTCGTTTGACATCTGCAAAGTCCAACAGTGCAGTTTTCGACAGACAAAGGTAAATATCAGCATTTATTGCATGATAATTGTAAAATTAAATTTGACTAGAACGAACTATAAATGCTACTCTAGTATTGTAGTGTGCTGTATCAAATTGTGTTTAAAGTGATCTGTATTCCTTACCCCACATTGTTGTAGGACTCAATAAGGGTTGGTAAACATTGCTATTGTGTGATCTTGAAGTAATACTGAAAACCTCATTTAGATTTAGAGAGATTGAAAGTATTGCATACGACTTATAATTGCCAAATCTAATGCTGTACTGTATGTAGGTTTTGTAGTGTTTATTTTGGTGCAGTGGTAGAATGCTTGCCTGGGGTTCAGTCAACGCACTCCCAAACCTGGTTTAGCCGATAGTTACCCCGGCAAAACAGGAAGGCTGGGCGTGAGGCTAGCAACCTCACCCCTCCGCCGTAAAAAGAAACGCCACTCTTCCTGAAACTTCGAAGCTCTAGCTTGAAGCCTTATGTTCCAATAGAAACGTAAAAAAAACAAAATGGAAAAATAATCCACAACTTTAGTGCAGCATTATTCAATGAATTTCGACGTCTTACATGACCTGTAAGAACTACTAAGGCGATCATCCGAAGTTAGATATATTAGATAGTTAGTATTTGTTAGTTATAGTATTTTATTAGCAAATTTAAGATTATATGCTTAGATGGGTTAAACCTACATAACCATTTGACGGTAGACTTCCAAATTTGTTCGAACATGTGAACTATTTAGCTACATTTTGTATAAATATTAACCGACTAATCAGTTATCCAATTAAGTGATTTGGTTATCTAACGTTCATAGGCGGGAAATTTCGTTGAAAAGCAAAATTGTACAAACTATTTAGCGATGTAACATTCATTTTAATACATTTTGTTTATTGTACAGATTCTTTGAAACAAATGATTCAATTCATCATCCAGAATGCATTTTTGATGCTACCGACAGAAATCCATCTGTTCATTCGGCTGGTTCATTTGTTAATTGTTGTTTTCTTGCACTATGTTGGGCTCATTTTCTTGTCATCATATGGTTGTATCAATGGCCACTGCATTTGGTTTGTTTTGTTCTCATTTGTGTTGGAATTTTTCGCTTATCACAATACCTACAAATACAAGAGTTATCACGTTGGCTTTTCTGTAAACTGAGTGGTATTGTGCAAGCTTTTGTACCAAATTTAAGTATGGCGCAAAGACGATCCTACTTGAAATCACTTATCCCTAAACCTGTGCATGGATTATTCACACTTCTGTCGTATTGTGATAGAAAGGTATGCGATATCATATTTACTTTTTAGATTTAACAATGTTGTCAACTGTGCTTACATTTAACAACTAGTAGTTACATAGGTCTCCATGGTTATGACTCTCTTACTGACCCATTTTGCCAGATATTCGAGCTCTGCTTAACAGAATCTTCATTTAGTTATTATCCCCTACCATGTACATCTTCGTTATTTGTAATTTCACTACATTTCTACGCTTCTGTGTGCTTTTTCAAAGTGTAGCAATTCGAATTGTACTTTTGTGCAAAGTTCCACGTTAATAAGTTAATCAGTCTTTTGGGGTGTGTATCTGGCAGTTTGGTTAAACAAACTGTGGCGCAAATAGACTTATACTTGCATCGTGGAGTTTAACCTTGTCGTGTTATTGCATAGGTTTAATTCAGTAAACGATTTAGTCATGATCACATGGTCAAGTGAATTACAAATATTTTTAAGCGTCTAGTTTCCTCTGAATGCTTTCAAGTGAAATTAACCACATTCATCATCAATTGTCTTAGTGAATCAAGTACAAAGATTCCTTAAGTTTGTCCTTTTTATCGGTTATCATATGATTTATGGCACTAACGTGAATAATTTTGAATATTTAGCAAGAATTTTCCCTTTCTGGACTTTTGTATCCAAAAAACTGCAGCAACGCGCAACCTTACACTTTAATACTCGACTTAGACGTAAGGTTTAGTTTAATTTTAATTGTTAGATTTCGTTGCAAACCAATATCAGTCAGGAAGATCATTGAAAACCAGAGAACACTGGACAACTGTTTTGGGACCCTTCAACAGTGCGTGTGCCACCATCTATCGGGAGTCGAACCCAGGACCTTCAGGTTACGATAACAAGCTCTTTGACCATTCAGCCGTTTAGGGTGGAATTCAGGAACTAACTTTCTTAATTCAGGAATTCTAAATTTTACGAGTTGATCATGGATTGATGTCAGTTAGAGAACCATTGAAAACCAGCACCGGAGTACTGGACAGCTGCTGTTTCATCCTAGTTTGGGAATCATCGGCAGTACGCACCCACTGGGATTCGAACCCGGGACCTCCCGGTTACAAGGCAAGCTCGTATACCATTCAGCCACTGGGACCCGATTCAATGGCTCATGAATTCTAACTTCTACCAATTCGTGATTTAGCGTGACCCAAACTAGGATGAAACAGCCGCTGTCCAGTACTCCCTGGTTTTCAATGGTTCTCTAACTGATATCAATGTGTGATCAACTCGTAAAAACCCTTACAAACCAAAACTATAGAAAATTCTAGCTTTCTTAATTCGTGATCTTGTGCTACTCTCACTAGTGTCTTCATTCAATGAGCATCTACTTCACTGTGACATGGTGAAACCCAGTGGTTACGATTTTTCAGGACGTATATCCAGTTATTAGCAGCCCGGTGGAGATTGATACTTAAATCTAGCAATTCAAATTAAATTCATCCAAATCTCCACAAATTCCATAATCTTGTTATTATTGTTCCCTTGGGTTCCTAGTGGAACATAGGGCTTCAACTGCACGTCTTCGCTTGCTTCTGTCTTCCTTCTACTGTACTTTTCACCTCTATCCATGTTAGTCCATACTGTTTCAACTCCTCTTCACACGATCTCCTCCATGTCACCCTTGCACTGACGTCCCACTCGCCGCGTGCTTCCCTTTCGGCCTGATTCCACTCGAACAATGGTCTGACGCGCGCGCGATGTCACCCAGCGACCTCCTCAGCGAGTGTCCAATCCATCTCCACTTTCTCCTGCATATTTGTTGGTTGGCGGTTGGTTCTTGTTTTGTTTTGTTTCTTCCCAGCCATAGTTTCTTGTTAGTGATTCTTTCTGACCCGGCCATCTGATCTTCAGTATAGAGCCAAGACAGTTAGTTGTTGATAAAGGTCTGCAACAGGCTGTTAGGGGAAATATTCTTTGTGACCCGCCCACCCGCCAAGTTTCTGATCCGTATAGAAGAACTGACTGACTTGACGTTGTTTGTATTGAAAATCCGAGCGAATTTTGTTGTTGATGCTGGCTGAGTGACGAAGATTTCCAGAATGGTTTCAGGTTGATGAATATGTTTCTCGCCTTTCCGATTCTCGCTCGAGTTGACATCCTCGTCCGTTCCGACTTCCTGTAGTTGAGACAATGCTCCCTAGATGACAAGTGAATTAAGTAACCTCTTTTAAATCCCATAATCTAAACAGGGATAATTACTTATCTATCGTTTTATGCACTTTAGACTGTCTTTACATTTATTTAGGTGTCTGTAATTTTGTATCGTATTTCATTATTCTGACAACTGATATGACTTACGCTTAAAATCAATATTTCGTACATTTTTCTTTGTATTTTTTAAGTATTATATCGTTGTACCCACAAGAATAGGAAAGGAAAAACAACTAATCTTTTATTTTTTGTTAATTTTAGCTTTGTCATTGTTTGGATTCATGGTTGGACAGTGTAGTCACCCTATTCATTCTTATCTTCTTCATTTTCGCATTTTGTCTGTTGACAATGTTTTTGGCATTTCAAGTAAGATGAAAATGCACTAACGTGCATATTTTTGTATTATGATTATTGTAGTATAATTTTGTTTTAAGTTAGGTGTATTTCTGTTATACGAATAAAGATAGAGAGAATTTACTAACCTGTTATAGGAACTTTTATCATCCTTGTTTGTAACCTTCAATTACCGTTCTGCATAATGTCTGACCGTAGTCTTTGAGCCATCGAGGGCATATTTTACGCCGCATCTCTTTCCCTCACATCTCGAACATTTTCGATCCTTGTACCTACGACTAAAGGACGAAATTGGAAGACATGAAAAAATTAGCTGTCTTCGATCGTAGGTGCCTGTTTTCTATCTCCCGTGGGAAGTGGTATAATAAGGTGAGCAGTATTGAGGTTAGGCATCGAGTGCTGGGTAAGGAGGGGAAATCAGTAGACGAGGTTGTAAAGTTACATTGACTGAGATGGTTAGGACATGTGTTACGTATGCCTGTCTGCCTGTCTGTTTTCGACATAGAACTTTGCACAAATGTGCGGAAGTTCAAGTCGCCACATTCCGTGTAGCACGCGAAGCAAGAGAAGAAAGTACAAGAAAAGCATAATAGAAACAGTGAGCAGAGGTGTGAGACAAAGGAGTAATAAAGAAATAGAAACAGTTTCATTGAAGATCATAAGTCACAGGGAGTGGATGCATCTGCGTTAGCCACTGAGAACGATTTTGAGCCATGTCACCAATTGTTTCCAACCATAGATTTTTACCGTCCCGAGGACCCCAGCCTGGAAGTCTACACCTTCCTACGTGGCTTAGACCAACTGTTGTGGATTTCATTGACTGATGCCAAGTTTTTGTTTGACCGCCGCTAGCTTTTTTCCAGCCTGACCCTATATCCGCTAACATAGCTCGTCGAGGGAGGCGATGACTTGGCATACGTAACACATGTCCTAACCATCTCAGTCTTTGTAACTTCACGACTTCGTCGATTGATTTCCCCTCCTTACCTAGAACTCTGCGCCTAACCTCCATGTTGCTCACCTTATTATGCCACTTTACACGGGAGATAGAACCTAGGCACCTATGATCAAAGACAGCTAGTCTTTTCATGTCTTCCACTCTCAGTGGCCAGGTCTCACAGCCATAAAGGAGGACGGAGCGGACTGATGAGCAGTACACCCGCCCTTTGGTCGATAGTCGAACATCTCGTCTACGCCAGAGTCGGCGTAAACTAACAAATGCGAAACGAGCCCCTTGTATTCGTGCGTAGTCATCGTTTTCCTCGACTGACGGTCAATGTTAGCTGAGATAGTGTGGATTGAGTTATAAAAGAGTTGGCTAGTTAGTGGTGGTCTAGCCAAAACATGTCATCAGTCAATGGAACCCAGAACAGTTAGTTTAAGCCAGCCGCGTAGGAAGGTATAAACTTCCTGGTTAGAGTCTTTGGGACGGTAAAAACCAACGGCTGGCAACAATTGGTGATATGGCTCAAAATCGTTCTCAGTGGCGCAGATGCATCCACTCCTTGTGATTTATGATTTCAAATGAAACTATATCGTTCTTCGTTATTACTATTCCTTTGTCTCACATCTCTGTTTGCTGTCTCTATTTTGTATTTCTTCTACCTTCTTTTCTTGCTTTGTGTGCTTCAAGGTGGGAGTGTGGCGACTTGAACTGCCGCACATCGGTGTAAAGTTCTATGTCGAAAACAGACAGACAGGCAGAAAGGACGAAATTATATAGATTGTACTTCAAACTGTTTCTACAAGTTCACCAGCAGTTGAAGTGACACTTATATAGGTACCTTGGATTAATCACATACATCCTAAGCTATGTGCACAAAAAACAACAGAATTCAACCTTCACCTACTATGGACTACTTGACCTATTCAAATATGATTGGTCATTAGTACGTACATTTGCTTTATGCAGGACCCGACAGAATTATTCCGGAGGTGTTTAAATATGGGGGTGACATACTAGTTTGTAGATTAACTGAGGTACTAGGCAACGTCTGGGAATCAGAGACAGTTCCATCAGACTGGGGTAAGTCACTTATTATACCGATATTCAAGAAGGGAAACAAGTCCTCGTGTGATAATCATAGGGGGATCAGCCTAACGAACATAGTTTCTAAAATCCTAGGCTCAGAAATCATGCACAGACTAAGCAGAACTCGGGAGGAACAGACGAGGGAAAATCAAGCAGGCTTTAGACCAGGTAGAGGGTGCATAGATCATATCTTCACTCTCCGACAGATTCTAGAACATAGACACACTTTTCGGCGTCCAACAATTGCCATATTTCTTGACTTGAAGGCGGCCTTCGACTCCGTGGATCGAAAGGTACTATGGCAATGTCTGACTGTGAAGGGAGTGCCAAGAAAGTATATTGCACTAATCAAGGCACTCTATTCAAACTCACGTAGCCGTGTAAGGGCTTATGGGGAATTGTCATCTGAATTGGTAACAACCAGTGGTGTCCGACAGGGATGTCCACTTTCCCCATTTCTGTTTAACTTCATCATAGATATGCTGATGGAAGTATCCTTAACTGAACGTAATGACTTAGGAATCGACTTGTTACCAGGGAATAGTCTTATGGACTTAGAATATGCAGATGACATAGTCCTGTTAGGGGAGGATGCTGACAAAATGCAGAGTCTTCTGAACACCTTGAGCAGCAATCTTCGTATGTTTGGCATGCGATTCGCCCCGTAAAATGTAAGATGCTGCTACAGGACTGGACTACGTCAACTCCTAGCTTAGTGATAGGGAGTGAAGTGATAGAACATGTTGACCACTTCACCTATTTGGGAAGTTGTATCAGCACCAACGGACTGATTGGCGATGAAATCTCAGCACGGATCCGAAAAGCTCGAGCTGCTTTCGCTGACTTACACCATCTCTGGCGTAGGCGTGACATCCGGTTATCAACCAAGGGACGTGTGTACTGCTCATCAGTTCGCTCCGTCCTTCTCTATGGCTCTGAAACATGGCCAATACGAGTTGAAGACATGAAAAGGTTGACTGTTTTCGATCATAGATGTCTGCGATCTCTTTCTCACGTTAGGTGGTTTAATAAGGTAAGTAATGTTGACGTTAGGCGTAGAGTGTTGGGCAAAGAGGGAAAATCAATCGACGAGGCTATAAAGTTACATAGATTGAGATGGCTAGGTCACGTGCTGCGCATGCCTAACCATCGCCTTCCCCGACGGGCATTACTAGCTGATATAGGTGCAGGTTGGAAAAGAGTAAGTGGTGGCCAAACAAAAACATGGCCTCATCAATCCATGAAATCCTTGACAGTTAAACTGAGTCAGGTAGGGAGATGCAGACTCCAGGGTTGGGCCCTCGGGACTCTAGGAATCAATGGCTGGAGACAATAGGTGACATGGCTCAAAATCGTTGTCAATGGCGCAGATGTATTCAGTCTCTGTAATCTTTCATATTCCTTTCTACCATTACCCATTCTGTTTCACTCTTATACTTGTGAAACTCTATTGATTCTCTTCACTCATCTTCTTGTCTACCATTGTGTGGTATTTGGAACGTGGCAACTCGAACTGCTGCACTTCGGTGCCAAGTTCTATGTTGAATCCAGACAGACGGGGACAGACTTTTGCTTTATGTAACTGAGTAAATGACATGCATTTCATTTTATTATTGTGAACCATGTTAGTTGAAAAGTGGCTGTAAAGAAATATCATCTCGCGAAATTTGTCTTCGAAATGCCTTATTCAAATTTATCAAAGGAACTAATTGTTTTAATTTGTTCATAATCCTAAATAAGACTAATGGAAACCAAGTGGCTGCTTGCCGATGCACTCCTAAACTTCATAAATTTATCCCTTTTTATGAATTTGAATAAAGCAAATAAAACTGTTTGTGCAGAATAGGACGGTACCATCATTTATTTCGTTGGCTTCTCATCATCTGCATATAGCCTAAATAAATTGCTAGGTTTATATACAGAAAAATTTTAGCATACTTGCAAATTCTACATGATGTCAGTTGACGGGAGGTTCCACACTTAATGAACAGTACTCAGAAAATCACACTTATATGGTTTTTACGCAGGGAGTTCAAGTTTAAACGACATCAGTGTTTGCATAGAATAGTAAAGGAGTTACGTTGTGAAGAGAAGAGGTGAGTTGGATGATGAGCAGGTAATCAATTGGATGACAATGTACCGAGTTCAGCTGAAATCAAGGAAACAACAGACAATCAAAATTACATTATGTCAAAGGGGGGTGGAGATTAAAGCCAAAGATTACGTAATCAAATGGAAGAGGAAGAGAGAGGGAGTAAGGACATGCATTTACCAGGGCAGGGAAAGACTGATAACTGCTTCTTCCCGAACACATAAATCGGGCTTCAGGTGTTTGATAGCGATTCCTTCAGCAGACTTGAGGAGAATTGAGCTTTTTTTCTGTTAATAATTTTAAAGGATTTCGTGATGTCAACCTTACGACACGTATTGATGGGATGTCTAGAAATGGCACTGTTGTAAGCGTTTGTTCCTTTGGAACATAGGCTTTTCAGTACATGTTCAGAAAATTCGAGGTGTGCCCTTTTTTGTGTTATCCCAATGTAACTGCTCCTGCAGATACACGTAAATTTGTAAACTCAGTTAGAGTTAACATGAGATGGATATTTGACGACATTTAACTGAATCAAAAAACATGTCCGATAGACGGGAATCAACTTAGCTGCAGGATAGGCTCTGTGTAGTGATGTATTCAATCCTCTGTTGACTATTCCTGCACTCGTAAACCTTGCCTAGGCTTTAGTAAGCCCTATATTGGGACTTCAAAGCTCAAGTTTGAGACCCTCTGTTCCACTAGGGACGCAAATGAATGAAAAATGCCAGTAAAGAATGGTGGTGTATTTACTAGCGGGGATTGGGAAAAAAAGCACTCAGTAGTGTTGCTGAAAGTTGTTTTCTTGACAGATAATATTACCATTGGCTATTTAGTTCTTTTATCAATGAAGCCTAAATTTCTAATTTATTTTTTGCAACACTGTTATTTGCAAGGGGTAATTTGTTTCTTTAGATTCTCATCAATAATAATAATCCCAGGGGTAATGTTTCGTAGTGTTTGCAGTTCCTTTTAGATTATATCATTAGCGTGGACTCATCAAACACCAAAACAAAGAGTAAATTCATACTTAGGCCGTTGCAGATCAAACAAGAAATAGGTTGAACTACTAGTGTAACAACAGAAGACAAGGGCCAGGCAACAGATCGTTTTATTATGAAAATCAACACGTATTTATACATATTTCAACTACATTATTATAGACAAGCGCAGGCTTCTGATTGGTTGTTTCGGGATTCCTTGACAAATAGAGTTCTCTCTGCGAATCATATTCTGCCACGTTAACTTTGCTGTGATTGGTTGTTGACTCAGGCTTGTTCATATTTTCTCACGGCCCATATTAGTGACCTAGACCTTAACGTAGATTAGTGCCAACCAATCGGCTAGCAGCCTGCTCTCACCACACTAGGAATGTGAGAAACAAATTCACCAACCTGAAACAACCAATCTGGAAATCTTTATCACTCAGCCAGCATCAACAACAAAATTCGCTCGGATTTTCAATACAAACAACGTCAAGTCAGTCAGTTCTTCTATACGGATCAGAAACTTGGCGGGCGGGCGGGTCACAAAGAATATTTCCACTAACAGCCTGTTGCAGACCTTTATCAATAACTAACTGTCTTGGCTCTATACTGAAGATCAGATGGCCGGGTCAGAAAGAATCACTAACAAGAAACTATGGCTGGGAAGAAACAAAACAAAACAAGAACCAACCGCCAACCAACAAATATGCAGGAGAAAGTGGAGATGGATTGGACACTCGCTGAGGAGGTCGCTGGGTGACATCGCGCGCGCGTCAGACCATTGTTCGAGTGGAATCAGGTCGAAAGGGAAGCACGCGGCGAGTGGGACGTCAGTGCAAGGGTGACATGGAGGAGATCGTGTGAAGAGGAGTTGAAACAGTATGGACTAACATGGATAGAGGTGAAAAGTACAGTAGAAGGAAGACAGAAGCAAGTGAAGACGTGCAGTTGAAGCCCTATGTTCCACTAGGAACCCAAGGGAACAAAATAATATAATAATTGGGAACAAGCGAAAAAAAGGAGAAATAAAGCCTAAAGGAAACTTATCTTAGTGATATAGTGCAAATATTATTTGTATAAAACCATGTAAACACAAAGTCTAATGGTTTATTTAATGCTCATTGCAATTTGTCTAAAATTAAACATTTAATCCATCTTCATGGGTGTTTTGTTTCTCTACACTAAATAGTTTGTATTGTTTAAGTTAACTCAGTACTCGTCTTTATTTATTCACATTCAGATTTTTAAGAGCTCAGTAAAGTATGTAACTATAACGACAATATATTTTTTCTTATGTCTCCAGGTTCATAATGAAAGTATTCGTTTGGTATCTTTAACGAGTGATCTGATTAACAAAGCTATGAATAGTGAAGCATATAGGTGAGTGAGTGATGTATACTTACTTTTGCTGTAATATGCATTCACATATTCTGTGATACTATAGCAGTAACTTTATTATGTTCTCTGTTCGCTACTTATTTGCTTTCTTTCTTCTTTTTCTTTGAAACGTTTTGCAATTTGATATTAGAATGAACTACCCTTGTAAGATACACTTTGGATATTCATGTTATTGGGCGAATCTAAACAGCATCCATTCATCCATTCAGTTAATTTTTCTTTTCAAGTGTTGGTTTTGTAGGGATTTTTTGTTTGATTGCATGGAGGATTTCACCATGAGCAGACATCAGTTAGAGAACCACTGGAAAACCTGGGATTACTGGACAGCTGTTTCGTCCTAGTTTGGGATTCTTCAGCAGTACGCACCCACCGGGGTTCGAACCCAGAACCTTCTGGTTACAAGGCGAGTTCTTAGACCATTGACCTCTGCTTACTGTCTCTATTATGCTTTTCTTGTACTTTCTTCTCTTGCTTTTTGTGCTACATGGAGTGTGGCGACTTGAACTTCCGCACATATGTGCAAAGTTCTATGTCGAAAACAGACAGACAGACAGACCATTGAGCTACTGGGACCCGATCCAATGGTCCTTGAATGCTAACTTGTGCAAACTCCCGATATAGCGCGACCACTTCTTTTCACGGTGATCTTTTAGTTTGTACTTAATTTATGCGCAGTCGAAATAGAATGCAGGGGAATTTTATTGTTTTCAAGAGTTAATTTGTAGGGGTTTGATTTGTTTTTCTGATGCTTGCTATTGACGAGCTGCAGGACGGTGTTTCTTGGATTTCTAGTGAGAAGTTGTGATCAGTGGGGTACATCCTGCCCTGGGTGAAGACAAACGCTCAACGATGATATTGGCTGGTGGTCGCAGTAAAATCAAGCCCATTGAGTTGGTTCGGAGTGTGTGATATGTCTACGAGCTAGCATTGTAACCAGAAGGTCCTGAGTACGAAACCTGGTGGGTATGTACTGTTGATGAATCCCAAACTAAAACGAGACAGCTGTCCAGTACTCCGATGCTGGTTTTCAATGGTTCTCTGACTGGTACCAATCCGCCCTGAAACTTGACAAGTAGGAAAATTAAACGGTTTTGTGAAAATCATAGTCATTTAAATCCTTATGAAACACTTCTTGTTGTTCGAAGTCAAGGAGTTTTAGTTTTTTCATCTGTAATTCAACGAAATTAATCATTAAGATGGAGGCAAGTTTACCTAATGGGAGGTGGATTCACCATTGGTCTGCAGACTATGTTTAAAGCAAAATGGCTTGTGTGAATTACTCTCCCAAGTTGCTTAATAGATTACAGTAACATATTGTAACCACAGGAGACAAAAGCCAGGCAACAGATCGTTTATTGAGAAAATCAACAGATATTTATAAACTTCTATGTATATTATTATTCGTTATTGTTAGCGTCTTCTGATAGGTTGTTTTCTCGCCGGAAGTTATTCTGTCATCTCTTTGTGGCCGTTTCTTTGAAGGTCAGACCGTATATCTGCGAGTCGTATCCGCCCACGCAAAGTCTGTTGTGATTGGTTGTTGAGTTAGTCGTTGTCCTTGTTTTTTTCTGATGACCGAGATTCGGGACGTAAACATTGACGTAAATTGCTGTCTGTCGATTCTGGCTAGCAGACAGCTCTCACCACAATATAAGGTTGACTAAATTAGAATGACACTGTTGTTGGCCTAACTCTATGCGAAAGTCTCTTTCACACTTCATTGTTTTTTCCACTTTTCATGTTCATCCTGTTTGTATAGGTATGATCGCTTGTGTAAACCTATACACTTAAAATAAGTTTCATGATTCATTATAGTTTCTAACACTAATATTTAGCCAGTGATGAGGCTAATTGATTTTCATTTAGTAAGTATTACCTCTTCATGTAAAGTATGACAATAAGCAAAAATAGTTAATAGTTAACACTCACTTATTTGAGACATATTTTGTGTTTTTCATTTGACACTAGTAACTAGTGTGATGTGTCTAGTCCTCTCATTGGTGCAGACTGAATTCTATCGGTCAGGTTGTAATGTAGCCACCATTCTAGGTAGCTCGCCATCACGGTGCACGTTGATTTGATGATATCAGATGGTTGGAGGCAATCGGGAGGAAGCCTTGGACCTAGGTTTCGTGCTAGTTGGCACTCGTCAGCAAGGCGTATCTACAACCTTGAAGGAACTCATGTCCATTCTGAGATTCGAACCCGCGTCACCTAGGTCCAAGGCTTCCTCCCGATTGCCTCCAACCATCTAATATCATCAAATCAACGTGCACCGTGATGGCGAGCTACCTAGAATGGTGGCCACATTGCAACCTGACTGATAGAATTCAGTCTGCACCAATGAGAGGACTAGACACATCACACTAGTTACTAGCGTCAAATCGAAATACCCAATACAGTCCTACAGGAGGTCAATCACGAGCCTCAATAGCTCAGTGGTAACGTCTCTGACTACAGCACTGGGTGACGCGGGTTCGAATCTCAGAAGGGACATGAGTTCCTTCAAGGTTGCAGATACGCCTTGCTGACGAGCGCCAACTACGATGAAACCTAGGTCCAAGGCTTCCTCCCGATTGCCTTCAACCATCTAATACATATTTTTGTGTATACCATATTATGAACCACAGTTATTGTGCGAGAGCTAATGATACATGTTAGTTACTACGGGTAATGTACATGGGAGTGGAAATCGAACCCAGAAACCGCCAGCTGACAGTAACGTCTTTAAGCCAATGGATCACAACTCTATAAACTAAAGTGAATAACTACGTAATATCATGTAAATAGACAAACAGAGCTTATACCAGAGTGCAGAGATTCAGTCCGCTACTCCATAGTGAAAGGAGTTTAACGGAAATAAAACGGTAGTAAAACTTGAGGAAAAAAATAATAACGTTTGTGAAATGTTCTGATGAAGGAAAGTGAACATATGTATACTACTTCGGTCTATCATAAACCATCCACCAATACTTAACAAACTTTCTTCTTCAGCTTAAATTATTTGTCAGACACTACAGATCGATATTATGTCATGGCTCTTTTCTAAGCTGACTATATTTCAGTTGATATTCGGCATTCTTAGAAGTGATTAGCATGTATGTCACAATGCATCTTCATGATTTCGTAGACTGACTTGCTTTTCGTGGATAGAAATCTGCACGTAACTTCAACAGCACTCATTAATACAATGTAAGAATACTTCTATAGTTTCTGGCCAGCTAATCAGTCTATACAGATTCGTTGCAGATGTATTTAGTTACTTAAGTATATATATAGTGTGAAAGTAAGTCCTAATGGTGATATTTAAGTTTCAATTGTTTTTGAGAAATCTTAGAAGATTTTTCTTCAGCCCCTTAGATTATTGCATAAATACTAGTATAGAGCATAGGTTATCGTGATGTATCTGAGGGATTATTGTGCAAACTCGTCAATAACTTTCAATGAATGCGTTTTACCAAAAAGTGACATTACTTATTAAACAGATTTTATACTTTGTAGTATTATTTAATGGTAGAGGTGTTCGACTTCTTATCACAAATCAGAATGCAATTCCTCAAATAGTTCAGTAATATGATTGTTTATTAAATGCTAAATGGTCTTTTTAGCTACAATTGGTTAAGTGTTTAACTGCTACTGACAGTTTATATTAGTTAGTTGGAATATTTTTGGATTTCTTAAAAGACAACTGGGTAACTGCTCATGACTCCACCCCATCTATTCCAGGAAACAGCTTTGAAGTATAAGATACAGGAAAAGAGTACTTTGTCTAGTGACAGTAGTTTTTGTCTCAGATGAAGAAATGAAGTCTAAAATTGGTTTAAACAAAATTATTCAAAAAAAATGCTAGAGCACGTTAAGAAAAGTAGCTTTCAGGAACTTCTAAACTTCCTTACAACTCCCTGTACATTTCGAGCGGCCTTACTTTACTGTTTCCCTAAAGGATTTCACATCTTCCTCCTTGCGTATTGTAAGTGCATGATGCTTAAGATACTTTAAAATTTTTTAAAAAATATGGCAGTTAACCAGAGTTTATTATTCTCCTCAGTTTTCATTCTTTTAGTTTATTAGGTTCTAGTCTGTTTAATTTCATCATAGATGTACTAATGTACTTAAACCTAAGTGACTTCAGCGACTCAGATATTAACTCGTTACCATCAGGGAAAAATCTCGTTGACGTAGAATATGCAGATGGTATAGTCCTCCTTGGTGAAGACGCCAACATAATGGAGTCTTCTGAAATACCTTGAACAGCAATCTTCGAATGTTTGGCGTGCAAGATGATGCTACAGGACTGACTGGACCACATTAACTCATTCCTAGCTTAAAGATAGAGAGTGAAGTGGTTGGTGGAGCATGTTGATCACTACACTTATTTAGGAAGCTGTATCAGTCAGTGCCAGCGAGTTGATCGCTGAAGAATTATCAGATGGGATACAGAAGGTTCGTTAGGCTTATGCGAAATTACGCTATCTCTGACGTAGACATGATATCAAGCTGTCGACCGAAGGACGTGTGTATTGCGCCTCAGGAGTTCCTTCCATCTTCCTTTACAACTGTGACTGAGACATGGACATTGAGAATAGATGCGAAAAGACTGCGGAGCTGTATTTGATCTTGGGTGCCTTCCTGTGTTGTATTTCCCGTGTTAATTGGTATAACAGGGTGAAAAATATTGATTTAAGGCTTCGGTCGAGTTCTAGGTGGTGAGGGAGAATTAATCGGCGAGGCGGGGAAGTTATATTTATTAAGATAGTTAGGACATGTGTCAGGTATGCCTAGTCATTGCGTTCCTCGACTGATGGGCAATGTTAGCTGACATAGTGTGGATGGAGTTGGAAAAGAGTTGGCTAGTTAGTGATGGTCAAACCAAAAGATGGCCTCATCAATCAATGAAATCCATGACAGTTAGTTTAAGCCAGCCACGTTGGGAGGTGTAGACTTCTTGTGTGGTTGGGGTCCTCGGGTTGGTAAAAACTTCT